CATCTGCCACACAGCAGGAAGGGCGAGCAGGGCTGCATTACCTGCATCGGGTAGCTCTGGGTGCCTTGGCACCAGGCACAGCAGCACGGGCTGCTGACCCACAGCATCTCCTCAGCTGTGCAGTGCCCAACAAGGTGAGGGCCGGGAGCTGCTAGGGATGCTCTGGTGAAGGCAATTCGTCGTGGCCCACAGGCTGCTCAGACTGAATCATGCCTCTTCCAGTAGAGTTGCCAAGAGCTGCAGACAGTGGAGATGCGGATTGCTGAGCGCTGGGACCAGAGGCCTCCAGTGTTCACTGCTTTCAGCACATCGCATCACTGAATCAGCCTTTGACATGGTCGTCAGCACAGACTGACGAGACCACAGCCTGAAGGCACCTTGTGCTGCAGCAAATAGCACCAGCTGGCACGCAGGAGATGTTAGACTGCCTGTGGGATGATTTTTTGAGTTCTGTAAACCCTGTGTCTTCCTGTCATCTTGGCTCAGGCAGCAGAAACTGGCAAAGCTCCTCCGCCTCTGTGGGGGCAAAGCCCTGGAACTGTAACTGCAACTGCAGCAGGGATGGGACTGCAGGAGGAGGGAGACCGGATGAAGTGGAAGTGAGCAGGAGGAGCTGTGTGTAGCAGGGGTACATTACAGCTGAATCCAGAACAGCTGCCCTAACACATCCCTGCCTCTGTTAAAAGATAAAGCTGGTAGGATGGAAACCTGGGGGGTCAGACAGGCAATTGCTGCTGTGTTTCTAATTCCTCTTGCATATTTCTGATACAGATAAAATAAGTCTGCAAGATGAGCCATCCTGCGCTAGCAAACAGATGGGCAGATGATGCTTAGAGAAGTAGGGACCTGTTGAGTCCTGCATCTTCTGCACAAGGTGTGCACATCTGGCCACCGTCTGCCCGCAGCTGTGCTCTCAGCTTGCTTGTTCCCCAGACGTCTCCAAAAGGTTTCTGGTCCTTAGGTACCAGATGTAGATGCAGTCGCAGCCCAGAGAAGCCAACTTACTTGGCTGGATCTCCAGCAAGGGGAGCAGGCAGGGGCCTCCATGAAATGTGCACGTTCCCGTGCATCTGTCCTGGGAGCGGAGGAAAGCAAGCTCCAGGCACAGGCACCCGGAGCAAGGCATCAGTCTCTCACATGTGCATCTGTGCCAGCTTCCCTCAGGGGGCTCAAGCACATAGCAAGGCAAACAGTTTCGGAGTATGGGCACACAATCACAGCAGTAGTTACTCTTGTTTGCCTGAGTTACTGCTGCTCATCAGACAGCTCCAGTACTCAGGGGAGGTGTGCTCACAGCTGGTGAGAAACGCAGATCCCAGCACGCCGGAGCACAGGCATTGCAGCAGAGGAGCTGCAGCAAGTTACATGTTATGGTGATACTTCCAGTAGTGGTTGTGGCTGTCAGACAGATGAGATTGGTTTGTAGATGGCAAAACCGATGGAGGCTCAGAATAGGTCTGCTGTTCTGAGAGTCCCAGCCCTAGGCACCTGATGCTCTTCTCTCTGAGGAAGTTTATTGTTGTAGCAATGTCATGTGTACGTGACACTCGCTCCATGTTGGCCTTGTGCAGTACAGCTCTGGTTTCAAAATAAGTAGTCCTGAACTCCAGGCCGTGTGCCTGCAGCCCTGCAGCTTCAGGGCACCCCATGGCAGGCGATGCAGGCAGCCGGGCAGAGGCTCTCTGCTTTCTGCTGCTTGGGCCAGTCACATTCTGAGAAGGTAAACTGCTTAACACAGCAGCACTTCGGCTTTTAGGAAGAAGGAAAATGCTCTGTTCACTGTGTTAGTTCTAGAAATAACGGGGAACGGTGTGCTGGAGAGATGTAGGTAGCCAGCAGTCTTCATGAGGGGAGGCTGTAAGGGGGTGGATGCACAGACCTGTGCCCAGAACACCTCTGTGCCCTTCATCAGAAAGGCAGCCTCTACTTCCTCACAAGAGGAAGAGATCACGTAAGATGTTTTAATTTGCAGCATCTTAAAAATCTGTTCTGCCCTAACAATTACTCTTTAAAAAAAATCTGCTAATGCGCGTTGTTAATTTTGTTAATATTGAGAATTTCTCTCCTGTGCGTTATGATTTATGAAGTTTCTGAGATGTAAAAATGCCACCACTCATCCAGTAATTGCTAACAGCTTGACTGGCTGAAGAAAAGGTGTCCAACTTTGCCTCGCAGTGGAGTAATACCTCATTTTGGGGACACTCCATGCACAGTGTGGTTTCTGTGAGTGGTGTAATAGGAAGGGATGGATTAATCTTTTCCAGTTGAAACATCTCTGAGGCTCGCAGATTGAATGGAGTTTTACGTCTGGTTAATTAGTAGCTCCACGCGGAGATGTGGCTTGGGACAGTCAGTGGGTGAGGAGGAATACAATTTCTGAGCTTAGTATAAATCATTCCGTTTGACTTTTCTTGCTGTCAGACTTAAAACCTATTTTCTGCATGGTTTTCACGTCATTTCCTCCATAGTCCCCAGGATGAAATAAAATAATTTCATGCATGATAAAGAAATCTCCGGTCAGTTCTGTTCTGAGAGCGACCAGCATTGGGAGCTTTGCAGTAAGTGAAAAGAAGGCACAACCTTTCAGAATTTAGTTCAAAGACTTTTTTTTTTTTTCCCCACTGAATCTTCAGAGACTCCTGTTTTGTCACTGCTGACACACTTCTGATCACTAACCCACCCACAGTGCTCTCTGTACCACTGCGGGCAGTACAGATGGCGAGTGCTTCTCTCCCCTTACTGCCCTGGGGCACCGTTCCGACAGCAAAGCCGTGCTCTCCAGCGGCTGTGAGATCCTCTTACGCACATGCAGTCAACGGGAGCTGGGTGTCCAACATAAACCTGCCTTGCCACGGCACTCAGCTTCTGCCCTGGCTTCAGCCTTCTGCTGACAGCGGGTAATTTTCAGCTTACTCTCCTCAAAGCAAAAGCAAAACTGCTCAGCAGCTCCTTCCAACCCATCGCCGCTTACCTGAGATAAAAGGCAGCATGGGGAACACGTCGGGGGAGCAGCACATCACAGCGGGACTTGGTGTGGTAGTGCAGGGTCTGATCCTCCCCGTTGGGACCTGTCGCTCCATGTTGCCATCTAGCCCAAGCAGCTGCAGGGCTCTCTCATTATTATTCACCATGTTTAATGCAGAATTGTAAAACACTGAACTGAGATAAAATAGGCTGCCTCAGATGATGCAGCCAACTGCAAGCTATCCTAGCAGAGGGGTGCTCTCCCTGTGACGGTGGAGCAGCATTAGGATGAATCTGAATGCTTGTGGCAATCCCATCCAACTTTTATTCAGAAGTAATTTGCTAACAATAATGAGACTGAAGAAATGAATATGCTGTACCCTGTTGGCATTCACTGAGGGTGTTTTCAGGCACAGCTCTAAGGAGGCTGCTGAATGGCACAGCCGAACAAGGGATGGAGGCTCAGGTGCTGAGCGCTCCCGTACCGGTGGGTGCTCCTGAGCTTTGCTGAGGCTTTAATGACCTGCTTGGATTCATACTTGCCTTGTACTAATCTGGGTTCAATGACTTCAGCAGGAGGCTTCCAAAATCACAAATGTAAGAATGAGAAGCATTTGACCCTAGCCATGATCACAGCAGAAATGCCATCACTTGCTGCTTACAGTAGAAAGGAAAAAAAGGAAGACTGAAGACTGAGCACACGTGTTATCTACAGTCCTGGCAAAGTAAGACATAAAGATTTAATAGCTATAAGACCTTAATAGGATCAAGTCCCTATGGCTGGAGCCAGAGCAGTGGCAGGAAGCTGTCCATAGCCTGTTTAACGAACCTAATTTCCTTTAATGACAAGGTTACCCACCTAGCTGAAGAAGGGAATCCAGCTCATGTAATGTTTCTGGTTTTCAGTGAAGCTTTAGGTACTTTTTGTCACTTTTGGACTAAATGTCCATTGTACAGCTAGACAAGTACATAATGGGGTGGGTGGCCAATTGGCTGTGGGTTGGGTACGATGGGGTTACAGCAGGCTGGTGGCCAGTCACCAGTGGGGTTCCCCAGAGCTCCATTTGGGGCCAGTTATCTTCAGTGTTGTCATAAATGACCTGGATGCAGGACACGAACACATAATAAGTAAGTTTGTGACAACACTAAATTAGGAGCTGTTGACTCCCTTGAGGGTGGAGAGGCCTTGCAGAGGGATCCTGACAAATCAGGGGGCTGGGCAACCTCCAACCACATGAAATTCCACAAGAGCAAGCGCTGGATTCTGCACATGGGACAAGGCAGCCCTGGGCATACCTACAGGAAGGGGGACGAGTGGCTGGAGAGCAGCCCCACAGAAAGGGGCCAGGCCCTGGCACAGCTCTCCAGGGCAGTGGTCACAGCACCGAGCCTGCTGGAGGCCAAGATAATGCCCTCAGACAGATGGCCTGATTTTGGGTAGTACTGTGTGGAGTTGGACTTGATGAACCTTGTGGGTCCCTTCCAGCTTGGAATATTCACGCTGGGGTTTGTTTAGCTTACTTGTCCCCACTTTCTAAATTCTAGTGCAGGCACTGCGTTAGCGCAGCTTTTAACCTGTAATCTAGTCTTGCACCACATTTACCACCTCCCTGTTACTCTAGGCTTCAGAACTGGGAAGTGTGGGATGGAGCAGGTGAAGGTCATCAGCTCCTCCTCGAGCCCACGCACAGTCCTCAGGCAGGCTCTGCAGGGACATGAGCTGCACTCCTCCTGGTCAGTTGTTATTTCATTTTCTGCAGCTTCGCTAACTCTCCTAGCACCGGCAGATTCTTGGAGATGTTAAATGCCATCGTGCTCTGCACACCCCAGCAAGTTCCCCAGGGTTCAGCTGCATCAGTGAATGGCACAACTTGTAATTCATCCTGTCGATAAGTGGGTGTGTTAATCAAGGGGAAAATCTGTGCAATTGACTGGTCTTGATTCCAATTAATTTCCCATTAACAGATTTCCTAAATCATTAGCAGAATGCCTAGACACAGATGATGCCAATAACTCTCTGGCACATATGGCCTTCCTGCCCTCCTGGGAGGGGAGTGGGCTGGCACAGTCTGGAGGGAAGGCTTTGAGGTGCTTGTGCTTTTCTGAAAGCAGGGATTTTTTTTTTTTTTTTTTTCAACCTGAATGTTTTTGTAGTGGGGGCTGTCAGCCAGAAGACTTTTGTCTTAGGTAAGATTGATCTCTTTGTAAAAGGAGATGAGGTTGCATGTGATAACAATCGAAGTTTGTAGTAGCGTCTGTAGTGTGAAGTCTGGTAACTTTAATTTCTATCTGAAGTTACTGTAGCTCTACATAAATCAAAAGAATATTGTGTTCCCTCTGTATCCATTACTTTTATTCTTAAACGATGAGGGCTTTTCACAGTATACCTACTGAAAAAAATACCATGTCAGTGAAGCATGTCTATTCTTTTCCATTCACTCTAAAAAACCCTGAGGGCTATGGAAAGGCATTTTGGAGCTGTTAATAACTGTGGGTATTGATTAGGGAGTAGAGAGCTGAGATTCTGGCTTATGGTACAGAGGACTTGCTACAAGATCAGACCTCTGAATTGTGCAGTCCTAAGTACATCAGGAGGGAAGACATTTTTTGGCATATTTAGGAACTCTGAAAGTTTTATTGTGCTTAAGGTTCTTGCTGTTTTGCTGTTCCCCCCACACACCCTGGGGAATTCCTGGCACCTCTGAAGTTGGTGGAGGTTCTGTGGTGGACTGTGGTTAGTGAGCCTGTGATTTATCCTTCAGTTTGTGGTTTGCAATGAACCACCAGAATTCATCAGTACTCCTGGGTGCTCTATTTTAGGCTGCTGTTGGCTTCTAGCTTTGCCATGGACTATTGAGTAATGACTGCTATTGCAAATGAATACCCTTACGATTAACCACAGCAAAGCTGAGTCGTGTCTTTAGTTGTGGGTGCTTTGTTCAGAGCATCTGTATCAAGTGAGCTTGGTGTCTGTCTTGTCTATGCAGGTTGGTTCTGGTAAAAAGTTACTGTGCCCCTGTTTTTTCAAGGTTTGTTGTGTCTTTCTACCTGAAGTCGTGTCTGAGTGCTGGTTTCTGGGACGTGGTAGCCTCCCAGATCTGTGCTGTGTGGTGACTGGGTGTGTGCAGCACATCACAAGGCAATGTTCAATAGTCCTTTGACTCTTCTACAAATGATAGACTTGGTTTAAATGTGGTTTTCTTTTGGTATGTCTCAGATCCAAGTGCTTACAAGTTCAGGTTTGGACCCTCACAGTGAGGGCAGCTTTACCAACAAATGCTGCCCTGGGAGCTGCCATCAAAATAGGACATTGAGCATCAGTTGTGCAAGCCTGGAATTTAAAACAGCAGCAGAAGGAAGGAAAAAAACAGAGCAAATAGTCTGACTGCAGAGAAGGAAAATAATTTTATTTTATAATTAAGCTACAAAGCAGGATGACAGACTTCATAAACTGAGTCCTGTTTCCCTAGACAAGCCAATTAATGTACATGGTTGGAATGATACGTGTTATAACAAGCAGCATGAAAAATAGCGTGTTTCAAGTTCGGAAAGTTGTTCGCAAAGCCTTTAACGTGCACAGTCAGCTAGATATAAACCACCAACAAATCTATCTTAACAAGCTTTTAAAATGTATTTGGAGTAATGAGAAGAAAATATAGGAAGACTTATAAACACACATGAAACGCATTTCAGCAGTTATAGATTGCGTAGCAGTAGTGAAAGCCTTTTAGTTACTGAGCAGCAGTAAAATGTGTTGACTGTTTAATTTGTACACAGTTTTATTTTACAGCATTTTAAAAGTTGCCTTTTGGCAGAGAGAATACATAAGGATGTAGGCTTATTGTAAGACAGATGGCTGACAAGAGAGCCCAAGCTAACTTCAAGGTTAGAATTATCATGGGAGGATAAAGCTTCCAGGGGCCTTGGACGTACATGGCTCTGTCTGCTTCTCTAAACCAGTTTGACTTACGGGTCCCGCTAGCGAAGGCGTATTTGAGTATTTGCTGTTCATTAACACCTGTTTCGGATACTTTGTCAGGATCTGATCTGAGCATCACGTTGTACAACCTGCCCTTCATTCAGTGGACTTAAGATGGGACTTTTAATGAGAAAATGTCATTTTGCAAATGTGCCATAGTGACACAGAGCAGGTTTCTCGTTGCTGTTTGTGAAAGGACTGTGACTTCCCACATTTTGCTTACTGTAAGCACCACGTGGGAGTCCCAGAGTCTGTTGTGAGGTCTAGAAACTTCAGTGCAGACAACTTCAGAGTCAGTATCTTCAGGCGTAGCTCAAATGAAGAATAATGCAATTTGGATAGAGCATGTAATAGTTCTTCACCCTGACCTAGGAGTTTGGGTTCCCCCCTCCAGTCAAAAGGCAAATGGCTTGGAGATGTAGGAGCAGTAGTAAGCAGGACAATAACAGCATTGCACAGAACTACTTTAAGATGTTGGTGTAGCAGGGTGGGCAATAGCTATGTGTACAACGTATTGCAAAGGGGAAAGAAGGTTCCAGTGCTTACCTAGCTTCAAGTTTCAAGATACGAGGCCTTAATAACTAAAAGGCAATATGAATGGGCAGGAGCAGAACTTCCTGCAGGAGCAGAACTTCCACTTCAGCAGCTGGGCATGACGATCTATCTGCATGCTGTAAGGTTTATTTATGATTTTTTCCTCCTCTGCTCTAGCATTGTTATAAATGTGAAGCTGTTGTTTCTTGGCTACTCCAAACTAAAAGCACATGATGAGCTGTGCTGATTTCTGTGCTGTACTTGGATGGCGTTTATGAATCCCATTTACCATAGGTATGAGCCAAAGAGTCATGGGCAAGCCCTGTAGCATCAAAGCCATGAAAGGCTCCATTCAGTCCTGTCATTACTGCTGATCTAACGGCTGGGAAACAGCTCTGCTGTTCTGGAGATGAATAAGAGTTCTCAAAATAGCAGCCCCAAATTTACATCCTGTTGTGGTTTGGTGCAACATCCTCTGAATCAGTGGTAGTTAAGGCTGTTTCCACGCTCTCCTTGCCTCCCCCCAAGATGAAGGACTGAGTCCCCACTCTCCTGAAGTAAGAAAGCTTCACCAGCAGTTTCTCTTAGCATGTGGATGGACCAACTGCCTTCCCTGGGCAGGCAGCTGGTTTCCAGCCATCTCTAGGCCAACTTTTACTTTAGCATCTGGTTGTCATTACATAGAGTGAATGGGCCTGCTTTTCCATCTCTCTTACGTACATTAATACAACACAGCTGGCTTCCACAGCGTGGAGAGAAGCTATTTGCAGATCTGAGACCAGAATTTGTCAATTCTCTATCGTGTGCAGGCTGACTGTGGTGTTGGGCAGGCATCAGTGCTTCCACTCCTCCCAAAGGTTCAGCTTCTGCTGCGGATAAAAGCTTGCCTTGGTTCCCAAGTGCCACCTTTAAGTTTGGATGCAGTAAATGCCCTTGCTGTGCTTGGTTTGTTCCTCTTCCCAGCTCTGTTGACATCTCCTGCTTGTGTTCCTCTTTCTTAGAGCCATGATATACCAGGCATGTGACTTTGAAGGGATAGTACATGGAGATGCAATCAGCTTCCAGGATGCACGGAGTCTTGTGATAACCCCTTGGATGAGAGGGAAAATAGCACATTTCAGATCAAGTTGGTGGCTTCCTTTCTCTTGTTTTCCATGAATTCAGTTTTATCTCTATGTTCAGAATTCCTCATGCAAATGATCACCGAGTCTTTAACTCTGCTTAACTAATTGGTACTTGTATATGCAAGATAACTGATCAACTATACTAATATTGTTGACCCCTCTTTGCCTCATAGTGCTATCTGCTTTTTCCCAGGTGATTGCAATTAGAGCATAATTAATAATAGCTGCATTCCTTTTGTTGTGAACACTGTAACAATTACACACAAAGACCGGCACAAAATCCTGAATACATAATTCAGTGCCTTGTGCTGTCCCCATAGAATCCAGGGGAGATTTGCTAGAAAATAGACACAAGTAGTTGATACATAATGTATTTAAAGACCTATAAAAATTTCATCCTTGTGAACCCACAGGGAATAGGATGGTTTGAATTTAACTTGTGATTGTATGGCTGAGAAATGAGCTACAGATAAAGGGCCGGTTACTGTAACTGGCACCAGACCAAAATAAACGTCGGACCCAGCTGTCTGTATCCTTGAATACATGAATAACTTCATGCTCCTGGGTTGTTTAATTGGATTCTGTGGGACTGCGAATTCGAGTAAACTTATTCATGCATGAGTATGTATTCGAGTCGTGCTGTTGCAAGTACTCTCATTGTTGAACAAAGGGAGAAATTCCTGGTGAGCTCTGGCAAGGCCGGGCGCTTTGCTCAGGCGTTAGGTGTGCCCTCGGCAGGGGGGTGCCCTCGTCCCCAGCAGCGGTGCTGAGCGGCGTGGGTACTAAACCTGCAGTGTTAGAAGAAATGATTTCTGGCCTCTCAAAGGCAAATGCAAATCTAAATTGGCTTCTTGGGCTGAAGTTAAGACAGCAATGGGATAGGAGCCCTGGGTGATGGGTGAAGACTCTTCCTCTCACTGGCTCCCTGAGTCAGGAGCCGCATCAGCCCCAGCCCCATGCATGTGGGGATGCTTTTCTGGTGAATGGTGCCGTGTTCCCTGCCTGCTGCTGACCCCAAGCTCCAGCACCACGGGAAGGCTGTGGCCACAGCACGTGGAAGCAGGAGTTAGACCCTTCCTCTGCTTGTTTAAATGTCTTCGGCCTTCCCACCCCTGTCGGAGAGTGGTGAAGAAAAGGGAGAGAAGAGCCTGTTTGGTGAGAAAGAGGGGCAGGAGGAGGTTAAGTGATGTGTTTTTACAAAGTAGGCTCCAGATTCACCTGAAAGGCCCTTATACATGTGCCTGCATGGACTAAAGAAATGGGAACTAGGTGGCCAGTTCCCCTAGGGGGGTTTCTCTGTTTTCCCCGGTTCTGAAGAGGCACGGGTGGCTCTGTGCTGCAAAACGTCTGGAGTTTCCAGCCTCTGCATAGGGTAACCTGGCTAAATTGCTCCACCCTGGGTGTTCAGCCTTTCAGCTAGTCAGACAGGGATGGCAACGGGATCGTTCTTTTTACAGAGTGCAACGAGTTTTTTTTGTTTTGTTTTGTTTTTGTTTTATTGCTGTGACAGTCTCGGGTCTGAGAGCACCAGTGTGTGAAGACTCCTAAAC